TCCTTAACCCAACTAACTTTTCATCATAATTTTGGAGATCAGATGCCTGCCATGGATTGATTCAGAGTGAAGAAATTTACAATAAGAAACATCGAGATGTTCAACAAGATAATATCACTAGTATGAAGAGAATAAGAAGCTCCAACCATGCATAGTTAYCTARTGCATTTGGCAATTGGTAAAACATTCTTATTTTCCACATTCCCTTATGTGAGCAACATTTATAATACATGAATTTACGGAAACATGCTTTGTGTTTTCTCTTTGTGTTTATGAGTTTAGGAGTTTCTTCTAACAGTTAGTTGTTTCACTTCTTTCTTTTACTCCAAGGCTAACTTTCCATAGGAGACAACTGGATCGAACACATTTAAAGGATATTCATAACAGCACAAGGACATGGAAGTCAGCTATGTAACGTATCAATAAAGGTCAGCGAACAACTTACTCTTTCTAGAGGAAACAAGTGGCTAGAAGACACTAAAAGGATATTCACAACAGTACAAGGACAGAGAAGTCAGATATGTAGCGAACAACTTACCTTTTTGCTATCCCCCTGAAGAAGTTGGTAATGACTCCTCATCTGTGGCTTTCCCACATCCTGGCTATTCTTTTTCCTCCGTTGACTTCGAGGCTTCTTGCACCATATCACCTCAAGTGCCTTTTTCACGGAGGTTGTTTTCTTTGTGGGAGGYACAGTAGGCTTGGCCGTACTTGAAAAAGCGACCTTTTCACACTTTTTTGTCAATTTAGCTTCGATAGTGTTTAGTTCTTCGGAAGTTGCTTTGCTAGCACTTGTAGACGCAGCTGGTATGGCCTTCTTCGTTGAGATTTCCTTTTTCTTCCGCTTTACGGCCTTTGTAGGACAACTTTCCTTACGATGACCAGCTTCTGCTGCACATCTGTTTTCCTCCACACTTGTTTTCTTAGATGGCAAATCCTGCACTGAAGAAAACAAGCGTGCAGGATTTGCCACAACCTTGTTCTTCTTCAAAGAACTGAATGTCCCTTCACATATTGAAGCCACTACATTTTTATACATATTTAAAGAGACACCCGATGATTTTACCGCTTCAGTCAGGTTATGGATACAAGGACATGATGGTTGTGATCGCTCTGACAGCGCTTTCGGTAAGCTGTTTTACGTAACCATATGCTCTTCTAGAAAATCTAAGAGATTTTTACCAAGTGATAGGTTCAAGAACGGACTAGTGTATTGTTGCTCTCTGGAACTCTGACTCTGAGCGTGATGAATTTGGCGATGRAAGTCATGCTGAATGTTTTTTTATTTGTTTTCTTATTGATTAATCTCTTCTTGCATAGTGATTTTAATYGGTCTAAATCTGCATTTTTCCAAACACTACTTTTGAAGGGATGATTTTTATTATAATGCAAGTACTATAACTCTATTTTCTTTTAACTTTGTAGGCAAACACATTCTTTTTTTGATTCAGCTAAGAGGTGTCTGGAAAGATTAGAAGCCATATATACAATTAATGGGTGATTTTCTAATTATTGTACGTATGAGAACTGAATTAGTTTTTTTTTTTTTTATCCAATAGTGCATCTTGATAAAGGTATCTTCACATGAAAAATGACTTGTCTAATTAATTTGCAACTCGCAGGTGAACAGAAGTTAGTGTGACCTGGCTATTGGATCGATAGAGGATATGATAAAGAAATTTGATCGAAACTTGTGGAAAGGTACACATTCATTTGCTAGTGTTTGTGTCGTAGGTATGTCAATTTATTTTTAAACGGATATGAATGTTGCGGAAAGATTGGGAAAATTATATTTGGTGGGTAAGTGATGTTTTGCTATATCGAAAAGAAGTTATTGTCTTTGTAGAGATAGATTATAAACTTTGTTCTCTATTGTTAGTGTCCATAAGACATAGATTGATTCTTTAAACAATTTAAATCTCCATTTCAGAGTTATAACACCTTAAAGATGCAATGGATCAGTTTTGAAGTATTGCATCTTAATTTTGAGGAGTTTTGTGCACATGAAAAAGCCGAATATATCCTCAATACTTCARGTTATGGTAAGTTGTTGTGCCTCATATTTCTCAA